CCTCTCTCTCCCCCCTTCTCTCTCTTCTCCCTTCCCCTCTCTCCCCCTTCCCTCTCTCCCCTTCTCTCCTTCTCTTTCCCCCCACTCCCCCCTCTCTCTTTCTCTCTCCCCCTTCTTTCTCTCTCCCCTTCTCTCTCTATCCCCCTTCCCTCTCTCCCCTTCTCTCTCTCTTTCTCTCTCCCCCCTCTCTCTCTCCCCTTCCCTCTCCCCCATCTCCCTCTCTCTCTTTCTCTCTCTTCCCTGAGAGAGAGAAAGGGAGAGAGAATGGAGAGAAGGGGGAGAGAGGGAAGGGGGATAGAGAGAGGGGGGAGAGAGAAGGGGGAGAGAAGGAGTACACATCCCATACTTTAGGAAATACACCTCCAGTGGCCATGTGAGGTTCTCTCTGAACCCGGGCTACAGTGGGCTGCACAGAGCTAATTTTAGCATAGCTGCAGTGTTTGCTGGATATCATGAATAACTCTTCTTGGCTGGAATAGTTGCTTGTAGTTTTGGATTTCTGTGACATCATTGTCCATTAAAAGGACTCATTCATTTTAACTTATGGAGTGCTGGTGACCTATTTTCTTCAAGCTTGTAGTGATCCCTCTAGTGGCCATCTATATGTGGATAAGACACCTACAGGCTGCATTGTTCTAAGCTGGCCGGAAATGCTTAAAGACATAAGATTACCATTTTCATGAAGAATTTTGCACCCATTTAAATCTACGTGTGCGTCGAAGTGTTTTTTGTAGCATTAGGTAAATGCGTTGTCACGCACCATGAGTCTCTGTGCACTGACAAGTGGTTTGATGAGCGCTGACACATTTTCAGAGTGTTTTGAATTTATCATTTGGAGTGGATAGGGTTAACAGCCATTGCCCTCGATGGTATATGCATCTTAATACGCTGCCATTGACTTCAGTGGGCCTCCCAACACACTGAAACGCAGAATGCCATTCACACTGCATTACAGCCATTAGATGGCACTGAGGGACATAGGAATTTCCTATGCTTCTCAGCGCCATCTAGTGGCCGTAATGTGATGCGAACGGCATTCACCCAGCTTTCAGCTGGAACCAAGGTTTGTACATCAGCCCCTATCTGTATTATAGGGAAGCTGGATGTGTGTTTTAGCACTTTACAATGTGTGCGTTATAAACGCAATAGTGTCAATGGACACATAACCAAACTGGAAAAACAAAGTCTATGGGTTCAGTGGATGACAGCAGCAGCCTGAATGGAAAAGGTAAGACAAATATTTCTGTCCTATGGAGGGCTCTGCCCTTAGGCCCCATTCACACATATGCGTATTGTAATATGCGCGTCTGTCGCGCAACCGTCACGCGGTTTTTTTACCGCGATTCGCGGTAAAAAAGTCGCGCGACCGTCGCGCGATTCCAAAGGCTACTTGGCAGTATCCAAATGGAAAACGCCCTACAAAACGGACCAATACGCAGCAAAAACGCTCCGGGACCTTTTCATGCGTGGGCCGTTTTGTAGTGCGTTCGGGACGGGCGGAAATACGGACAGGTGGGAACGATACCATTGACTACAATGCTATTTATTTTTTTGACCGTTTTGTAGAGCGTTCATCGAGCGTAGGACGCGCTACAAAACGGTCAGGTGTGAATGGGGCCTTACACAGGGCAGTCAGATGGTGTCTGCATAGCCAACTGCCATCACCATAGAGAAACATGGAGGCTGCTAATGCTGCATGATCAAACTGCCAGTGCTAGCTGTCTAGCTGTCATGCTGATCCTCTTACTTCTATAGTTTGAGTCAATAACCCAGAACAAGCATCCAGAAAGGATTTCTGACTATCAGATCTGCATACTTGTTGCAGGTCAGTGATTAAGAAAATAACAAAGCCAAAGGGTCATCGTAACAGCCAAGCAGCCAGGCAAGTAGTATTGTTAGGAGAGATGAAGATGCAATGTCACCCCCAATTAGTTTGATTGCTCTATGGGACAGGACAGTTATCAAAATAATAACATGTGTGTATATTAAAAATGTATGTATACAGTATATAATATATATGTATAAATATATATTATTTTATTATTATTATTTATTTATTTTAATGTATTTAATTTTGTTTGTTTTTGGAAGATATTATAATGTCTATCTCATCATCACCGGGACGTCCATTGTGTCTTTGTCTGCCCTTGCC